TAAGGCTCTGTTGCCACTATATAGGCAAAGAAATATTCATTTCTCAGTCACTGCAAGGCAAGGAGTTTATTCTTGGGAAAGGCAAGACCACTGGAATGGATATGAGGCAGAACTAATCTCTTATCCACTGAGTTTTGTATCTGGAGTTGAAGTACCCAATAATGGAGCTAATCACTCAACTTGTTCTATAATTACTGTTTAAGCTCTGCAAATATCACATAAATGCCTTTCGATATCCATGTAAGTTTTTATGATAAACTACCTTCCAGCTGGACACTTCATATTGTTCATGTCACAGATTTTTGTAGAATGCAAGTAATATAGTTTCATTTAATATTTTGATAGTTTAATATTTCACAATTTTTTGAAGGCTGAAAACCCTAACCCTTCAGAGGGATGAAACTGAGTTTAAGCCCATAATCATAACAGTATATTATATTAACATAATGTACTGGCTGCCTCTGAACATTGGAACCATTCGGTTATTATGCGCTGCCATGGAGGTATGAATGACGTTTATTTTCATGAGAAAGATGGGGAAGATTGTGCTTCACAATGTGATGCCCAAACTTACCAGTGATGTTCTTTGAAGTTTAATATAATGGGAATAATGAAATGCAAAGCAATTAAAGTCTCCCATACTGAACTTCAAGAATACCGGTGGAAAGGTTTATAATGTAACTGGCAGGGAAAAGTCAAGGATTTCTTATATGGCTGAAAATCTAGCTGCCTGACAGTTTTCATGAAAGTCTCCATTATTAAATTTCATCAAAATGTGCAAAACAGTTAATGCCATACTTTATATTTATAGCCATACAAGCATGTAATATAGGGTGCAATAGAAATAGGCTGGAAGTCTAAGACAAGTTCTGGTGAAGGCCTCAAAGGATGAATTTCTATAAAATATGTGAATGAGTTTGTAGGTTGCATGGAAAAGTCCATTTTTGCAAACTAGGCTTTAATATGACTCAGTATGCCTGAAAATCTGAACGGTCCAGTAACTTTTGATGGACAGTTCCTATATCAAATTATGAAAAAATCTGTCCAGTGGCTTAGACACATGGACAGACATGAACTCCACATATGGAGTTCTCTTTTATTTTTTAAAGAAAGCCTATAACCAATGTTGAATGTGATAAAGCAGCAGCAGTAACGATTTCTGTCTGTCATGTATCAACAGGAAAATTATCATATTAAATCACAACTATTCTCTATCAATATGCTATATGATATTGCTATTTTGCACAAAGTCATTCACTGTTGTTTCAGTTTTAATTATCTCCAGCTTTCACTGTTTGCTGCTCAAATGTGGCACATACCCAAACTGATATGGTTTACTAGCAAAAGACTTCACCATTTTCTGTGCCCAAATGTTCAAACTTGCATTCCTTCTACAGCAATTCATATCTGCCACTGTTGGCCTGTCAAAAAGTTTCTTGAAACCAATAATCATGACCCCTCCATTTGTATTCATTTTTCAGTGATATTAACTGATGGAATCAGAATATTTTAATTCAGTTAACATTTGCTAAGGTGTTGATGTTAGGTGTGTTGTATGAGGGGTATTCAAATGGTTTGGAGGATCAATGGTTGTAGTTGTTGTGACTGTTGCAGTTTCTTGTCCTGTGCTGTCATCTCGCAGTGATCTGAAGAAACCTGAACCACTCTTGCCACCATCTCTCAGAATTTGGAGAAGTCTCTCTTTTTCCAACCAATGATAACGTAGCTTCTTGCCCATGGCTGAAAGTGTTTTTAGTTGCTCCTGAAACCATAAATAAAAATAATGTATTTTACAAAGTATTTTAAATTTGCTTTGTATAATATATTATTTGGGAATGTATGCATATAAACTAAAACTGCAAAGAATGCACAGAAAGAGAATGGTAAAATTATCCTCCTTTCAAATGCAAGTATAGTTTTTCAAGACTTCTGGTCCAAAAGGAGATGGATGAAAAACTGACAATAAAAAATTATTTTATATCATCATAAATTCATGCTACATAGGCACAATATATGCACAGAGCAAGGTGGCTCAGGCAGTAACTCAGTGACTTGCATTCAGGAGCTTTCAAAGTTGTACAAAATTACAAAGACAATAAAACACCCTCTAAAATCAAGAGACAAACATTAGACATATATTGCATAAGTGGAATCTATGAATTGAAGTGCAGCAAATGTCCATTCAAGTACACTGGACAAATGGGACATACATTCAAACAAAAGAAACAGAAAATTAAAAATTCTCACAACATATGCTCAACTCAGTACATACTGACAGTACAATAGACCAAACAATGAAGTATTACACATTGAAACGAAAGGACAAATGTTAAATACTCTGGAACATTCCATATTCACAATCTAAGAAAACAACTGTGGGTTTACCCAATTTATAAACCCTGCACAATAATCTATTCACTCTGTCTTCAGTAGTCTTCACGTATTTATAACGTGGGAGCTATACAAGTCTCTCCCAATACAACTGTACTACAGCACACACAGAGTCTATAAGTCACACAATAAGTCTTCACTCGCTGAGTTCTCAGTTATTGCTCACTATCACAGATCATCACATCAAATCTTCCAACCATCGATTTATATTGTGACATGTTGCGCAAAGCCGAGCCCCCCCCCACACATGCAGTGACGCGGCGGGTGAGTCAGCGCTCCCCTCCCACCCCTCAGCGGTAGCGTAACGCTCGCGTAATAGGCGAGTAATCACCCCGCATCCTGGCAGCTATGCGCGGTGACGTCACGAGCGGAGCCGAAGAGAGCCGAGCGGAGCCGAAGATAGCCGAGCCCCGTAACCTGGCAACTACGCAATGCTAATCAACAGCGGTGACGTCACACTAGCAACAGCGTCCTAGGCTATACGCCACGTCACACTAGCAACAGCGCAAGGCTATATAAGTGGACTCCACAGCCGCTACCAGTTCAGCTGAAACATAGCAGCCTGCGAGTGTGCGATAACTAAGAAGTCAGCGAGCGGAAGACTTATTGTGTGCTTTCCAGACATAGTGATTGCTGTAGTACAGTTATACTCGGAGTGTGTATTTCAGGGAGACTTGTATAGCTCCCGCGTTATCAGTACGTGAAGACAAGTGAAGATTGTGTTAAGAGATTGTGTTGTAGGGTTTGTAAACTGTGGAAACCCGTAACGTTGTGATAATTAAGTGTAGCCCATAGTTGTAGATTGTTCAATAAACCAGTTAACGATCTCTACGGCGTATTCAGTAACGTAAACACGTTACAATATCATTACCCTTTCACAGTGCTTACCATTCTTTCCATATAAACTGAAGAATTTGAAGGCGAGTACGTGTAGTTTTCTCAGCACTTTTGTTATTCTCGGAAGAAAGGGTGTAAGCAACTGTACGTCAGAAACCGTCTGCAGTTGCAGATTCGTAGCGAGTAAAGTGTTACTTCATTTTATCTTTCACTGGGTTCTGTCAAGTTCGGTAAAATGACTTTACAATTGATAAGGTTGAGAAGCTTGTGTTTCTAAGTTTCTAGCATACTTTCCGATACTTTTACTTTGCACTCTATTGCTCCACGACCAAACAGTTTGATGAATTCACCAAAGGCTAACCAATTTACCGAATCTTATACCCCGTGAAAAGCCAAAAACCGCTTTCTACAATATTGTAGAACAAATATATAAAATAAATTATTTCGGTTGCAATGTGCATCATTACCAGTCGCACAAGGTTCTAGATTGTCAAAGAATCATAAAAAGAAGAAAGCAAGGATTACAGGATTAATACGAAGAAGGAATGAATAAGGAGGAAGGATTAACGAAAAAAAACTGAATTCTACAGGATTATTCTCGTGCACCTAATCATTCATTCACTCATCCACAGAATCTGTCACTCATTCATTCATTCTCCGATGCACAGACCCATCTACACAACCATTTCCCCCTTCACGTCCAAACCAACTAACTCATTTGTTTCTTCACACAGACCCACCCATCTGCTCATTCCTTTACGTATAGACTCTTCTACCCATGCAATCACTTCTGCCTCAGGCACTCCCGTCCATATACTCGTACCCTGGCGTACGAGTTCATCTGTCCACTCACACACATAACCATTCACCCTTCCACAACCATCCACTCACTCATTCCCTCATCTACACATTCGCCCATTGACTCGAATTCTTAACATACTCCTATCGCCAGTAATGGTAACTCCAAATGCCCGCTTCGGACCCGAGTTCGATTCAATTCCAGTTCACATTGACACAACTTAGTTCTTCCTTTTAATTTATAATATTATCTTTTGATTTGGTAATATATCTTATAAGCAGGCCTTAAAAAACTAAATACATTTATTCATTTCTTATTTTGCTTTCGAGTTGCAAGTTCAGAAAATTCCTGACAGGACTAAGAAAAGTACAAAGGACCAGGTTGTTGGTGAAGTCCTCTGCTACGTTAGCCATTTTACTGAATGCATTGCTGTCAAGTATTCATTTATGTTCTTCCCTCCATATACGAGTTAATGTTCTAGAATAGTAGGAAAACGGGTAAAATTGTTGTGTGCAGTAATATCAGATGTACTTTCATAATGTACTGTATTAATCTTCTGAGGGTATGAGCTAACAGAGAAACACACAATTCAAATTCCGAATGGACCTACATATATTGGCAGGTAAACATAACGTCCTGAATGAATACACGAAATCGAATATTTCTAGCTTTAGGCAAAATGGTGTATACAAATATCTGTTACAGCAAATGTTATTTTTATAACCTACATCATGTTCTATTTTTCCGAGATTGGAACTCAGTGATGGCTTGGAATTCGCAAGGATAACGGCTACCTTCGCTGGAATCTTTGGTCTTCCGCAGTCCCTAGAGGAGAGTGCTGAAGCAGCTCTTTATCACAGTTGTTAAATTTTAAATTCTTCTTCCATAATACAGCATGATGATAAATTTCCTAAGAGTAAGAGCATTAGAAAGTACACAACGTATAGCAGAAAGCAACACAATGTGACGTAAATTATTATTATTAAAGTAAATATTTTATTTAGTCGTGGCGTGGGATGAGATTGGGTCCCTTGACGCTTCAGCCTCAAATCAAATATGCGTATTACAAATTGCTGATGTTGTAAAGTGTGGCATATGAGGGGCTGGGGTAGTGGGAAAGCGCCTAGAGTTTTATTCGCCTAGGTGATTTTACTAGGGCCCCCCTTGAATACAAGGACGACGACAAAACAGCCTCTACTGAAATCATAACCTGAAAAACACGTGTCACACGCTGTCACAGAGCTTTGTACCTGGACGTACGGAAGCCACAAACAGTGTGATGGTTTGAAAGACACCGTGTTTTGTGTGAGTAGTGTAAGAATATGGTAAGAGGCAACCATTTCCTATACCACCTTCAGGCAGACCCTTACAGATAGGGGCACATAAGATTTCTGCCTAAAACACAGAAACTATAAACGATTCCGAAGGATATGAATACCTGAATTTTGTCGAGGTGCCTGGTGTGAGTCCAAGGCACAGCGGAGCGCTGCTGCTGCTGTTGCTGCCCCGACACTGCCAAGTCTACCAACTGCTCTTCCAGTAGATCCTCTCCTTCCGGGAACTTCTGTTTCTCGGACCGCAACACCAAGAGTTCGTCCATTTTGTCGGGGAGGCGTGTGACGGAAGGTTCGGTTGCGGGCTCATTAAGTTCGTTATGTGTCAGCAGTACAGAGCCGTTGGTTCTGCGCTGATTCTTGTTGAATCCCTTGCTCTTCCCTGGTGGCGCGATCACTGATACTGCAATGTATGCGCTTCTGTGGCGTGCCCTCTGCTGGGCCTCCTTTTGCTGTTGGGCTAGAATCTGTGGACTAGAGGTCACCCTGTGGTATGCAAAGTGTGGCCACTGTTTGCTGCTGGATGCCTCCTTGGTGTGGTGTGCTATGGCTCTGTCTATAGCGGATAGAGGCTTCTGGTGAGAGGGCTGCATATGGGACCATGTATTCGTCGTCAGCTCCCTTTGCTTAAACGCAGACGGATCCAGTGATGGCTTTGACCAAGCATTAATCTTTCCGATTGTTATACTGTTCTGATTTGTAACTTCATCTGTGTATTTAGGCCAACTGTATGTGACAGGACTCTGGATTGAAATACCCGTTTCAAGGGGGAAGTTTGGCCAGTTATCTGAAGTTTCGTCAATGCTGTAACCATCTTTATTCGAAGACATACTCTGGTCCATCGGCAGGTCCGGCAATGTTTTCACGTTACCCGCAAGATTACCATGTTTGAGAGATTCTACTGAGAATCTGGGCCACCCCGTATTTGGACTACTGTACACTTGATCACCAGTATAGTATCTCCTTTCTTCTTTTGGATTCAGACCCGGCCAGCTGCTGATGTTAGTCTGCAGTTCCCTCCAGGTGAACGCCTGATTTCCAGGTATATCCTTACCAAGAGAAGCACCGAAATGAGGCAGCCTGTTCTCAGATACTTCCTTACTAACCGACCGGCTGAAGCCATGTATTCCCGGGAGATCATTCCTGCCCGTCTCTCTGTACACTGATTCGGAAATCGCTGGAATAGTGGCCCAATCGTCTGGCTTCCTTTGAGAATTTGTCATGTCCTGAACTGGATTACTGAGCAAGCCAAGCCATTTATTTTTGTTATGGAGCCAATCCGCTGAATGTTTTGACCAAGCATTTGTGGGGTCTTGATCTAGCCCGTTGTCTTTCAGAGAATCAGGCCAATCGTGCTCTCGAGGAACAACACTCAGTTTTGTAGGAATAGGCAACCTGTTGGTTTCTAAATGGGAAGGAACCTGTTCAGGCTGTGATAAATAAGCGATCGCTGACTCTATACTTGACATATGATCAAGTTTATATTTCTGGACACTCCTAATTGGCCATTCTCTACCTTCGTTTCCTTTGATTTCCTTGTCTGAATTCAGTGCTCTGTTTTGGTTTTTGTCTGAAGTGTTTTCAGATTCTAGATTTTGCATAGATTTTCCCTTTATGTGCGACTTCGAAGGCTCTTTAAGAGTTTCGGTCAAATAACCTTTGACACTAGAAGTTTCTTTAACAGTTTTTCCTTTCTCATTGCCCCTGAACACTACATTAACAGGCAGCAGAACGCCCGCTTTCTGTAGCTCTTCTCTCCTAACTTCCTCTTCACCTTTTACTTCCTGTTTCTGTGCCTTTTCATTATTCGCCTTGAGCTTTCCTTTCTGTTTCTTCTTTTTCTTCTTCTTGTCAGCCTGCTGGTGTTTTCGATGACGTGCCTTTTCCTTGCTCTTGTTGCTGCGTACATTAACAGCACCCCCCACGGCAGCATTAGTTTCCTCTGTTCCGCTGTCTGACTTTCCTAGGGACTTCGTTCCTTGCAGCAACTCTCTTGAAGCGGCTAGATCTTGATCCAGTTGCTCTGAAAACAATAAAAAAGGAAACGTTTTTATTGAATTTGATAACTTTAAGAAGGCGTGCTAAATGAAACAGTGACCTTGAAGGCCTTCACACTACCCATGATTATTCCAAGTTACGAATCAGTACCAGAATTTATATTAACAAAAATGTGTTCTAAATTTAGTGCACGGGGCCTTTAATGTTACATGTTCACTATTGGTTTGTGTTACAGACGTCAATCCTGAATCCACATTTTAAATTGACATAATCCTTCCAATCGCACTATGACCCTGAGGTCGACTCAGTCTCTAACAGAAATGAGTTCCAGGAAACTTCTTGGGGCTAAAGGGCGGCCGGGGCCTAAGGCTACCAACCTCGCCGCCATCTGTGAGCTGATTGTCCAGGAAATGTGGGGGCCTTGGCGCCTCACAACATTATGGGCCTTCATGGCCTGTAATGAGTGAGAGCTTTAACTATAAATTTTATGAAGGAAGATTAGATGAGTGGGGTTATGCGGTGCGCATGGCAGAGGCGCGTTCACAAAGATATTTAACCTCAAAACTTGAAGGAAACAGCCACTTGCGAAACCTAGGAGTAAACGAGGAGAATATTGAATTAGGTCGGGACTTCATTTGTATAGCTCAGGACAGGGTCCAGTGAGGGACTGTTGTGAATATGGCAGCGAAATTTCGAGTTTCATCAAAGTGGGAAATTTCTTGATTAGCTGAGCGATTTTTGCAATTTCAATGGTTAGACCTAATTATTCCCGATTTTTCAAATATAAGTTATACATATTGCAAGTTATATAAAGATAAGTAATTTCCTGAAATAGAAAGCAGAAATTCGTGTTTTCGTGCAAATGGAACTGAAAATGTGCAGTTAGGGAAACTGTTCTTTAACGATTTTATTCTCTTGACGTTTGATCCGAGCGACGTGCAGCGTCACGGCCAAGCTTCATTGGCCCCCTGCAGTGGCTTGAACACTGACTCCACTGGACGTGGCCTAGTCCTGCACTAGACAGCATGTCCGATACGTCTATCACACGAGTTGTGTCTGGTACAGAACATGTTCTGCAAAAATAACGGACGTCACAGCATGCCAGGTCATATATGTGCACGTCATCATAAAATCCAAAATTTCTCCCACTCAAGGAATTTTCTTCGGCCTATGGTTTTCCAAAATAACTCCTTGGAGATTACTGGAGATACCTGGGCCTATCTACTGTTTCAAGCCGACCATGGTGGCTGCGCGGCCAAAGGCATTAACTGTTCGAATCCCATTCAAAGGCATGGATGTGTAGGGGCCTCGTTCGGGTGGAGAGGTGATGATATCCTCCACCTCTGTGTGTGCGTTTATTCTGTTTGTCTTGTCCTGTGTGTAGGTAGAGGCCTTGCGACGGGCTGATCACTCGTCGAAGGAGTCTTACCGTCTTTGTAAAAAATTACGAAACTGAAGATGAGGCCAGGGTCCAACAAAGGGCTCTAGAGTCATTAATGACTGAACGAATGAATGAATGAATGAAATCTCCCATTTCAAAATAATTATCGCTGCACGGGGATATTACAAATTATCCATAACTTCGTTAGTAGTAAACATGTGTAAAAATTGTAGATGTTGGAGCTATCTAAGCTTATGCAATGCAGAGAGTTTGATGTGATACAATTTCGTTCACATACGAACGTTTTAACAAAGAAAACTATTACTATACTGTATTAGTATAAACCGTCAACACAGCAAATTCGCAATAAATAACCAATTATTACATTACCATTCGTTTATTATATATAATTTCTACATGTTTCGATCTAGCTGGATCATCATCAGGCAATTACTCATGAAATGCAGTATTTGTTGAGTTGTATTCCCATGTATTTCTAATGTGTATCCGTATTACTAATCATTAACATGAATTTCATTACAATGCTTGTACTAGTATAACGTTATATTTTGGATACTAGTCTTAAAATGTAAAAAAGTTCTATATCTATATTTGTGGTTTAAACGCCTATTGTACTGCGATGTGGAAAGCAAATGGAAAAACTACCACATTATCACTTTTCCTGGATAGTCTGTTTCCAAAACCAGAGATACCATGTATGCGAGATGTTTCATTTGAAGGAGAAAGCTCTAGATCGCATCAAGTGGAGGAACTGTTTTGGAAGAGACTGTGGACCTGTCGTCTTGACAGATTACTGATGAATGAATGAATCTATATTTGTATTATAGAGTAGATGAGTTTTCTAAGAATTACGTTTTTGTTTTCAATTCTTTATGCACATATTACGTGGCAGTTTCCGCATGTATGCAAATTAAGTTCAATTTTCCTTTTTATTGATGGTAGTTGAGTTATTGTTTATGTTGTACCGTGTCCTATATAGGGAGTCGCGCCTTCTTGCGTATGTTGCGGTTGTTCTCCTTGGGTTGCGATACCCTGTAGTTCGGAAAAATGCCGAAGTTTCGAAGGAATATATAGTCTCCATTTTATTGTCAATGAGTAAGCTGATCTTGCTTGCCTTACTCTTCGACTCTGAAGATGGAGACGGTATGTTCCTCCAAAAGCCCAGGGCATTACAACCCAGCAGACTGTACACCGCTCCACAAGGCCACATTTGGAGCCACTGTATGTTGCAAGCTCACATGCTTTCTGCCCTCTCCTCTCGCTTCAGCCGCCAGGTCTTGTGAAATACACGGCAGATGGAAGTGAGTAGTGAGCTTTTCTTTACACCACGGGAAATAACCCCGACTAGGGTCGTCTATGAGCAGGTTGTCTAGGATGCAGGGCCACCTTGAAAGTTGAAACAGAAAATTCTTTCCTCTCTTGGGAATTTAACCTCCTTCGTCAATCCTGTAGCCAGTCACTATTCGACAAATTACTGTGCTGATTAAACAGTAAGTGTGAAATGGGCGGGACGTTTATCTCTCGTAACACAAAGTATACTAAAACTCAGATTTTTCCCGTTTTAATAAACAACCATGTGATGTAGGTGTACTGGAGAAGCGGAAGTATAGCTCCACGCATTCTTAACCTCGACATCAGATGGAGGCGATCGTTCAGCTTCATTCCCAGGGCATTTAATGCCTATGGAAAGAGATTCCAGGCAGGATATGTCCTGGTCATCAGAGCAGTGGTGAAGAGGAACACGCCCAAGGAAACGGTGCACGAATAACAGTATCAGTTTGAGCTCCGTGCTCCTGTCAACATCGTGAAATAGCCCACGATAAACTGCAACGGTGATTCGATCAAACGTACGTCTTCAGCTCTAATGGAACCGAACTCAGTGAGGGCTGATCTGTAGGCTGTGAGCCATTTCTTGCTTCTTCAAACGAGCAGTCGAGCCTCTGCCTAAGCACCGTACCGTGAGAGCACAGGATGAATGGAAAGTGAACTCCTCAAACCGCCCGTCTTAATGGTCTTGTATCTCAGACTATGTAGAGAATTTCGAAGAAACCCAGTAAGCTTACGGGAATTTTGGATAGAAAGATAATGGCGAATTTAAGGCCTATTTTAACGAAGCATATATTGAGTTTTGTAATATTGTAGCAAGTAGAGGATGAGGAAAAAAGGCAACGACCACGAGCTAAGCAAATATACAAGGCTCACTGCTGAGAAACGGCTTCGCAAACAAACCCCTTTGCCCCTGAGAAAGTTGCCGTAGTGAAACCGGTAGACGGAAGGAAGAAGCGGCATAGGGGCAAGAAGCAAGCTGCAGGGCGACGTGGAGAGTCAAAGGAACTGACCCGAGGAGTTTGTGGATCTCAGATGAAGTTGGCCGCCGCCTGCAGGAAATGTTGGACCGAGGGAAATGACGGCAGCTGGAGGGAAAGTTACCCGCTGTGCAGGACACAGGCGTAAGGGACAAAACAAAGACAATGCCGCACCAAGAAGCGCGAAAGGAGGGACGTTACAGAAGAGACTGTGGAAAGGCCCGGAAAGCAACAATGGCATAAGTGACCGAGGCCTGAGTAGCTACAAGGCAAATGAGAGCAAAGGAGCGAGGCGACAAGCAGCCTCTATACGAGAGAAAGTGGAGGGAAATTGCGATCGTCATGGGAGGGTGGAGCTCAAGATGGCTATAACCTCTTGGAAGAAGAGGACCAGCCTACAAGACCCTCAAGAAGACCCTATAGCTGGAATTAGTGAAGCAAACAAACGGGACGTCCAGCGGGTTTCGGAAAAGTTAGGAACTGTACCACATGGAGGAGGCGCCCCAAGCCTCAGCGGAGAAAGAAGCAGCATTAACGTAGGAAGCACCGGCCACTCCAGGAATTGCGGCCCCCAAATGTTGAACGAGAGAGACAGAGAGAAAGAGAAAACCTTTGGATTATGGTGAGAACCTGGACTGACTGCCGCCTTAACAGTGAACCGCTCGGGACGAGCTGGTCTTAATGAGGGAGCGGTGGTAGCGGGTGGAGAACAGTCGCCGCAAGAGGAGCCGAACAAGAAGACGCAACGAGCAGAGATCCTCGGAAAAGAAGGGACGGTGATACACCGCTAGGCTATTCGGGACGATTAGCCTTAAGGAAGGAGCAATTTGTTCCTACGCAACGACTTGTAAACAACCTTCAGTCGCGTAAGCGCACTAAAAAAATATGAATATTTAGTTCGTTGCTAGGCAACAGTCAGCGCGCCAATGGGTTGGCTAGATGACTATCACGACTGGCTTTCTATGGAGTCGGTGCCGCTACCGTTGCTATGCAACGTCTCGGTGAACACTCATCTGCAACAATATATCCGTTTTCTGTGCGTGGTCCGTGCGGAGGACCTATAAACGAGAATAACACCAGCAGTTCAACGGACACCCGTGTGGAGGCGGGGTCGAATACCTCCACCGTGACACTATGAGTCGTAGGAGGCGACGAAAATGGGTGTCCCAAATCTGAGAGAGTAAAATATGGTCGTAAGTCCCAAGGGACTCGGACCGAGAAAGACTATGCTGGCGAGGTCCAGCAGCATATACAAAAGATAGACCGGTCCTCACGTCAGAGATATAGCTCCATAAAGCCGGGACCGTAACTGTCAAA